CTCCGTACAATAACTGAAGAAACTAATCTCCAAGTTTAGGCTTTATTCTCTAATCCATTTTTCGAACTAGAAAACTGACAAGTACTTCTAAGCGTTAAATTTAGTCATTATTATGTTGTGGAGCTCAGTCTTGACACTAGAAAGATAAACCTAGGGACAATTAATGTGTAACGGGGTTTTGATATGCACCTTTATTTAATAAAAAGATAAAACGGTTTTTTGATAGAAAAGTTCCAAGACATCTGGATTAGATAAGAGGGGATTGCAAGGGATCTTTTATTTGAAATATTATACCATATATGTATTTTTACCTTTTTTTGGTTTATCACAATAAATGTAGATTTATTTAATATAGTTAGATAAAATCTTGAGATTAATTTCAAAGTAGCTAAAAAGAATCAAGCTTCATAGGTAGTGATATTAATTAGGTTGATGAGATGATTAAGTATTTGGATTAATGCATTTGCTTAATTAGTTTGGGATAATTTAGATACCAGTATAGAAGAAATTGTCTATAAAGTTTTCAATGCAGATTCTCTATATATAAATAGATATCAATTAAAATCAATAGATTTCACTTTTTGCCAATAAATTTAAATTAGTTAAAAATGAAATTAATTTGTGGTAAAATGTTATTTTATCTAATGAGGTTTCATTAAAATAAAAAAATAGTCAAACTTCAAAAATTAATTTCCTTTTATTTCTCATTCATCTTGATATCAATTTCCAACCATTTACTTATCTTTTATTGATTATTATAATCACCATTTTAAATGAATTATGAATTATGAATTATGAATAAAACCAAAGCTCATTGATCAAACAAACCATCTTCCATTCTTAATTGAACCTTCTTCATTTAAAAAACAACTTATCTTAAAAGATAACACTATTAAAAGCGTAATTTATACTTGATCTTTTTGTTAGAATCTGTGAAAAAAGAATTCATTAAAATATTCGTCTAATTAACATTCTTTGAAAAATTTCCATTTACACAATATTTAAATTTTCTTTTTATAATAATCTTAAAAAATAAGAGGATCCATTTTAGGAGATAATTTTATTGATATTTAGCATTTTATTCTGTGATTAAAAAAAAAAGATTTATATATATACTTTATTTACATATATCTACTCAAAAGGATGAGATACATAAGCTAAGTATAGTCAAGGATAAATAGGACAATAAATTTATGGTCTTTTCTTAAACATATTTCAGCACTCATTCATCTAAAAAATATTACAAATCTTAACTTTTTCATTGTAAATACGATTATAATATTGGTAGAAAATTTTTCTTTTATTACTAAAATATTTATTATTTTCAGGATTTTCAGTTTATGAAAAAAAAACCTTAAAATACAAAATCCCAAATATCTTGACAATTCATCCAATTTCTTTATTCATATGGCATTAATTTTTCTTATAACGCATACTCAATAATATATTCTATGCATCAATGCAAAAATCATTTGAGTAATAAGGTTATGCACATTTTTACAATAACACCCCTTTAATTATTTGAGATACTTGATGATTATTGAAGCCAGATAATATACATAATTTCTAATCATAAATTTTCTTAAGAAATTAAACATTTTATTTCTTGCATCTAAATTTATAATTATTATTCTAAATATGGAAATTAACAAGATGATAAAGATATTTCTTTGTTGAAATTATAGAAGAAGATTATATCTAATAAACTCATACAAACTCCATAAATTTAAACATAATTCTCTTCACATTGCTAACAAATTATTTTAACAAATCGACACCAACTCGATCACAATCAATGATATTTCAAAGTGTACACCTTTAATTATATTAGAAATTGCAAATTTTTCGATATTAATAGAATTAAATATTGATATTTCTTAAAAAGCTAATAACTGTCAAAATGATAAATTAAGATTATGAAAATTAAACAAAATTTAATAAAAATCAACCTTTGAAGACTAAGGGATTTTATTCTAACTCTATTAATATTTTATCAGAAAAATTAGTCTTATTAAAATATATTATTTTTGAAGTCTTGAATTAATTTTATTAGTTAATATTCTTTAAGTATCTATTTCATTAGACTTACAAAGAAAATTATTTAATTCTTATTTTTAATAATACAGGCTAAAGCAATCAAGCTTTTCTCAATTAGGCAGAAACACAACCAACCTGTTTCCAGTTACTTACTAATAGAAATAGAGTTTAAGGAGATATAACTGTATTTTAATCAATTTAAATATTTCTAAAAATTATTTTGTATAAAATTTATAATTTAATTTAAAGCAGGGCTTTTTTATAATTGTTGTCATCTAATAAATTGCTTCTTCATTCATCTGAAGTATTGATACCTATCCATCCTTTATAAACAATGATTTTTGGGGGTTTATATGCAATTAGAGATATGTTGGCTCATGATGGAGGGTAAGAATCAAACTTAATGATAGTAAATTGGATTATGCTGACCATTATAGGCATCATTTGTATTATGTTGTAAATTACGGTCATCCTATTTTAGATTATTATTTTTGTACTTCGTACAATCCAGTAAAAATAAAAAATAAATTGTTAGAAAAATTATCCCATTAAAGAAAAATGTTCCTATGTTAGTGAATTTAAAAATAAAGATCATCCCTTATTTTCTAAGTATTCATGAATAATTATAAGAAANTACAAACTCCATAAATTTAAACATAATTCTCTTCACATTGCTAACAAATTATTTTAACAAATCGACACCAACTCGATCACAATCAATGATATTTCAAAGTGTACACCTTTAATTATATTAGAAATTGCAAATTTTTCGATATTAATAGAATTAAATATTGATATTTCTTAAAAAGCTAATAACTGTCAAAATGATAAATTAAGATTATGAAAATTAAACAAAATTTAATAAAAATCAACCTTTGAAGACTAAGGGATTTTATTCTAACTCTATTAATATTTTATCAGAAAAATTAGTCTTATTAAAATATATTATTTTTGAAGTCTTGAATTAATTTTATTAGTTAATATTCTTTAAGTATCTATTTCATTAGACTTACAAAGAAAATTATTTAATTCTTATTTTTAATAATACAGGCTAAAGCAATCAAGCTTTTCTCAATTAGGCAGAAACACAACCAACCTGTTTCCAGTTACTTACTAATAGAAATAGAGTTTAAGGAGATATAACTGTATTTTAATCAATTTAAATATTTCTAAAAATTATTTTGTATAAAATTTATAATTTAATTTAAAGCAGGGCTTTTTTATAATTGTTGTCATCTAATAAATTGCTTCTTCATTCATCTGAAGTATTGATACCTATTCATCCTCTATAAATAAATGATTTTTGGAAGTTTATGTGCAATTAGAATTATATTGGCTTGTGATCGTGAGCAAGAATAAAATTTAATGATAGTAAATTGGATTATAATGACCATTATTAGTATCGTTTTTATAAAATTGTCAGTTATGGTCATCCTATTTTAGATAATTATTTTGGTACTTTCATACAATACAGTAAAAATAAAAAAATAAAGTGTTCGAAAAATTATCCAATAAACCAATAACAGTAAAATGTTCATATTCTAGTGAGTTTATAAATAAAGATCATCCCTTAGTTTTAAAGTATTCATGAAAAACTATAAGAAAATTTTAATTAAATTTCAGATTATACAATCTTTTTATTATAATATTATTTACAATAATTTTCAATAAAAGTTGTGAAATTAGAGATTAGATAATAAAAATGATCATATTCCAAGAACTTATTTGTATAAAATAATTAAATGCATTTTATTTTTAGTTGTTTAGCATCATTATTTTGTTTGAATTCTAATGCAAAAATAATGTATATTGAGTAGGTTTATTCACAACACTTAAAGTAATCTTCATAATTAGATTCCTTTAATTGATTAGGCTGAATAATAAATGAAAAATTAATTAATATTTTTTAAATTAACAAAAAATCAATTACTTCAAATATTCATATTATGTTTTACTAAAATAATAATCCAAGGTAATAAATATACTATAAGAATAAGGAATGGTAAATCAATCTAAATTTTATCTTCTTAATGTAAAAAGCAGAAATTTGATAAATTATGAAGAAGAAATGAATAAATGAAAGGAATTTAATATTAAGATTAGTTAATTTATAATATAAACTACTATATATAAGATTATTATACATAGTATTTATATTTCAATGACTCTTTTATAATTATTATTTCAATTTATCTGATAGAATTTACTAAAGACAAAACAATCAAGCCAGTACCGCAAACACTAAAATAGATAGATTAGTTTCCATAAATCTATGTTCTATTTCTATCAATATTAAGAATAAGCAAGTCATATGAGTTTCTGTTTATGCAATTAAAATTAAATTTTTTACTTGATCCTTGACATATTTCTAATGTATCTTATAAATGTTACACATTATAAAGTAATTTATTTTGAATTCAACTTTTGTAACACTTTTTCAACATTGACTTAAACTCTTTACTTTCATTAATAAAAAGAATATATCGAAGAATGTATCTCTTGTATCTTAACAAGAATTAAAGTAAATATCTAAAATGAATTAGATTTTTATAAGATTTTTACACATCGCTGCATAGAAAATTTAAGGAAGATTTTTTAAAAGATCCTAAACATAAGCAAGATGGGATAATGATCTGAATTTTAAAGAGAAGAATATTAAGTAATAATAAAAGTAGGAAAAAAAAAATTAAAATAATTAAATATGTTTAAAAAAAAATTTAATTACTTGAATGTGATTTTATTCAGGAGGAAGAATATGTAGAGAGAGGATTATCAAATATGATTATAAAAATTTGTTCATGTTTCTGATAGACAACTATTGAATATTCTGTCATTAATTATGTTGAATATCTAAAATAGGCAAAAAGATTCATAAATACTTTATTTCAATCACAAAACGAATTAATATTATTGGTACGATTGTATAAGGATTTTTCTATTGTAGTGTGCAAAAACAAACTTTGATGCTCATATTATCAAAATTTCCTTGCAACATTAATTTGATTATGTAACAGCAGATTTGGCAGGCGTTAAAATTTTTCATTTTAGACAATTCTAATATACTTAATGTAAGTCTTGCTGTTCAATTGATTCCAATAAATAAAATAAGAATAAAGGACAGGATTGGAATGAATCTGAATTATGAGAGATGCCTTGTCCAAAGAAGAACTTAATAAGTAAACATGCCTATAGATAATCAATAGTTTATTTTCATCGATGCCAATATGAATATACTCAGGATAATAACTTAAAGTAATCTGTGAGAAATATTAATTGATGTAAGCTAGTCATTGACAGTTTATGAACTATTTCAACTATGTATATAATTGGGATAATTGTAGCTTGAAAGTCGAAATTTGGTGTTTAGTTTGAAATAGTAAAAATAGATGAAGAGTTTAAGTTGAAGTTGAAAAATTTTTACAAGAGTTGAATTCGAAATCAATTTAATTTAAATGTGTAACATTTATATTACTTCCTACTCTCTGATTGTATCTTCACTTGTGGAATTTTCAATCAAAAAGCTGGTACAGCATTAAACTATATATATTAAGAAGCATCATTTAAATTAACACCTTTAAATATTCCTGTAAATTATTTCACAATAATTTAAATTATATATAAAAGAAAAAAAATATAAAAATTCTTGATATATTAAATTTATATAATTTGGAATATAAATCAAACATTAATTGAATTCTATGAAATGTTTAAAGAGCTTTCTAAAAAATAAGCCCCTCTATTCTTGAATAAATAACATAAGTCTTTGCCTTGGTGATTTATGAATTCTCCTTTAAAAATTATAGTTGATTAGGCTTCAAAAGATATGTATTGGCTAATGACGAGTGTTGCTACAATAGGATAAACTAAAAAAAATTGGGTAGTAATACTATTGGCAAATGGGAGAGGTAAAATATCTTTGTAATTTTTATCAGAGGATTAAAAATCTTTTACATCCCATAGACGGATAGATTAATCACTACTACCAGATGCTAATGTATTTCCATCAGGAGAGAAACAGACTTAATTAATACAATTACTATGACCATCTAATTTGGCTTTTTATTACCCTGTGTTGACATCCCATATACAAATAGAATTATTATAACTACCAGATGCTAATTTATTCCCATCAGGTGAGAAACTGACTGAATAGACATAACTAGTATTACCATCTAATTTAGCCTTTTATTAACCTGTTTTTACATCCCATAGACGGATAGACTTATCATTACTACCAGAAGCTAAAGTATTTCCATCAGGTGAAAAACAGACTGAGTAGACAGTGCTAGTATGACCATACAATTTCTTGTTTTATTATCCTGTTTTTACATCCCATAGAATGATAGATTTGTCATAACTACCAGATGCTAATTTAGTTCCATCATGTGAAAAACTGACTGAGTAGACAGTGCTAGTATGACCATCCAATTTCTTGTTTTATTATCCTGTTTTTACATCCCATAGAATGATAGATTTGTCTTAACTAGCAGAAGCTAATTTATTTCCATCAATAGAGTAACAGACTTAGTAGATTGTTCCGCTATGACCATCCAATATGGCTGTTTATTATCCAGTTTTGACATCCCATAGGCGGATAGAGTGATCATCACTACCAGAAGCTAATGTAGTTCCATCAGGTGAAAAACAGACTGAGTAGACAGTGCTAGTATGACCATACAATTTCTGGTTTTATTATCCTGTTTTTACATCCCATAGAATGATAGATTTGTCTTAACTAGCAGAAGCTAATGTATTTCCATCAATAGAAAAACAAACTGATGAGATAAAACTAGTATGGCCATTTTTTTTGGTTTTGTATTATCCTGTTTTAACATCCCATAGACGGATAGATTTGTCACTACTACCAGAAGCTAATGTATTTCCATCAGAAGAGAAACAGACCTAGTAGACATCACTAGTATGACCATCTAATTTGGCCTTTTATTATCCTGTTTTGACATCCCATAGAAGGATAGATTTGTCATAACTAGCAGAAGCTAATGTATTTCCATCAGGAGAGAAGCAGACTGACATTACCCAATCTTTATGACTATCGAATGTGGCTTTTTATTATCCTGTTTAGACATCCCATAGACTGATAGAGTTATCACTACTTCCTGATGCTAATGTAGTTCCATCAGGTGAAAAACAGACCGACAAGACATGACTAGTATGACCATCCAATACGGATTTTTATTATCTTGTTTTTACATCCCATAGACGGATAGATTTATCATTACTACCAGAAGCTAATCTTTTTCCATCAGGAGAGAAACAGACAGAATTGACAGTGTCCAAATGACCAGCGAATTGAACTATTTTTTTCTTTGTCTTCACATTCCATAGATGGATAGACTTATCACCACTCCCACAAGCTAATGTATTACCATCCAAAGAGAAACATACTGAGTTAATACCATTACTATGACAATCTAATTTGCCTTTTGATTATCCTGTTTTGACATCCCATAGACGGATAGAGTTATCTCTACTACTAGATGCTAATATATTTCCATTAGGAGAGAAACAGACTGAGTAGACATAATTAGTATGACCATTTACTTTATTTAATTCATGGATTTTTAAATTTTTCCATTTACAATTTAATAATATGGCTCCATTCAGGTTTATTCCACTTATGTTGACATTATTAAACTAGGATCCACTTAAATTACATCTAGCAAAATTAGCTTCTACTAAAGAAGTATTTTAGATTTGAATATTTTCAAAATTATTGTTTCTAAGGTCCACCTTCATCTAAACTAAAATATGTAATGAGTTAGACCCACATTAGAGGAAAGTTTTATCTATAGATGTAAGGTGAACTAAAAATTTCAAAAATTCTATGATTAATCTATCGTATTTTATTCCTTTAATTAAATTCTATGTAGATTCTTCATATTCTTCATTTGAATAGTCTAACTTATTGAAGCCATGATCTTTTATTTTTTTTAAGACATTAGTAATTTGTTTGATGTTATTTTTAAAATCATAAAATTGCTATTTATTATCATCTTCTAGTATATTCTCTCCTTTTTGTAAGATGTATTGTTCCTAAATTTTTTGATTTTCATAATCTGAAAGATACCCTATGCAACCTTAAACTTTCTCCTTTATAAATATTTCTAATATGACGCCAAATATTTGTTCATCTATATCTTTAACTTAATAAAAAACGTCAGCTAGAGAATCATTTTCTTAAACAAGGCACTACATTTTCTTTTTTATTCTTAATATTGAATTTCTATTGCTCAACTTTAATTTATTTACTGCAAAACCGATCGAAGTATCTTATTTATTTTTGTAAAATAGAAATCCAGACATTGTGTAGATTTGAAATTGATTATAATTCAGGTAAATTATACTATTGAGAATTCATTTCAATATATACATAGCTTTTTTCTTTAATCATATAGAATAAGTAATTTGTATATGAATAAATTAATTTATACTTAATTTGAGTAATAAA